GGTTGCATAAACAGGAATCCCAAGTAGGAGTAGAGAGCTTATTTTACCTTTGTATTTGACATTGGTGCAAACACTGTTGGAATGCTGTGTACCATTCTGGTGTAAACAATTAAAGAAGGATGCTGATGAATTGGAGAGGGTTCAGAGAAGAGCCACAAGAATGATTAAGGCATGTTTTCTAATTCTTTATAGTGATAGACGCAAGGAGCTCATCTAATTAGTTTAACAAAGAGAAAATTTAAGGGGTGACTTGATTAGTCTGTAAATCCCTACATGGGGGACAAATATTTAATAATGGGCTCCTCAATCTTGCAAAAAAAGGTTATAACACAATCCAGAGGCTGGAAGTTGAAGATAAACAAATTCAGACTGGAAATGAGGCATACATTTATAATAGTGAGAGTAAACTAACTGTTTAGAACAATTTACCAGGGGTTGTGGTGGATTTTCCATCACTGACCATTTTTAAATCAAGATTTGATGTTTTTCTGAAAGATCTGCTCTATGAATTATTTTGGGGAAGTTCTGTGGCCTGTGTTATACAGGCGATCAGACTAGATTATCACAGTGGGTCCCTTTTGGCTTAGAGACTCTGAAAAAGTGCCGTGGTATTTTTAATCCCCACATTAGTCCTGCCACGAGTGCAGGGGACTGGACTAGATGACCTCTAGAGGTCCCTTCCCGTTCTATGATTCTATAATGATTCTATGTGTTGCTCATGTCCATTCCGTGACCCGCCTTCCTACCCCTCTGTCGGAGTTACCGGCAAGAAGGAACGGAGAGGGTATGTGGCCAGCAGCGCCCCTTATGCCAGCGCATATGCACACAGCTCCAGAGGACACTAGAGCCAGTCTGACGGATACCACTAAGGGAAAAATCTCTGGCAACAGTGCGCATGGCGCACACACACCTAATGTGGAATGAACGTGAGCAACACATCTCAAACAGCAGTTACGGAAATAATTAGCAGTGTTTTTTTGTAAAATGGTTCGACATCCTTCGATGAAGGGTGTGATAAAAGCAGAAAGTACTGCAATAACTGAATTTTTGTACAGAATTATGAAGGCGTGCTGTTGTAGGAACTGCTTTAAGCCCACCCCACATACCGTAGCAGTGCTCAAAGCATTGGAAATTAAAATTCAGATTTCTTCTTATGTAGAGAAGTTAACCATTTTCAGGTAGGTCCTTCCATTTTAAAGGTGCTGAAGTAAATAAATTCTTGCTGTGGTCTTCCACTTCATTGAAATCAATTCTTAGCTGTTTTGGTGGTGATATCACTAGAATCAGTGAAGGACTTGCCTACATTTGCCAATTTGCTGCGTTCATGCTAGTGATTTAAGCTCTTGAGTCTGGTTGTGGTTTGGCTCAGTCCTGAAATAGATGCCAGTTTCTGCAAGCTCTGTTGAGCATCTTGCACAGTTCATGTCCCTTGGATTGATTTCAGCTTGCCAAAAGCATTTGGACTCTGGCAAAATTGTGCCAATTGTACAAAATAACATTGGAGGGGTAGCACCTTCCAACATATGTTTGAAAAGCAGTTATGGATTGTTATAGTGACATTTGCACAGTTATTAACAACTTGCTTTTGTTAAAAGGTTTATGATTTAACTGGAACTCTGACCATTGCTGCTGTTAGGTATGAAAACTAAGTTAACGCTTCCTGGTCTATTGAATTTGGAAGGGCTCAAAACGACGATAGCAGCCTTCTTTAGGTCCTTTACGTGATTTGAGGTCTGTTTGTCACACAGTGGTTTCTCTCTTGATTTAGTTCATTGAAAGAGAACAAGATAAGGAAACAATTGTAATAAAAGATTGCAATGATTGCTGCTTATTCATTTATACCTAGCGAAGATGATTTCATGCTGTTGTGTTTTGTTACTAATTTGTTTAGCATCAATGCAGGAGGAGGTCTTTGTGGTCAGATCAGGTGAAGAAAATTAATTTTTGGTTGGATGATTGGAGCGGGGTGGGGTTGATTTTATAAATAGCTTTTTAAAACTTGTTTTTAAATATTAAAGTCAAGCTAAAGCCCATTTTTATTACTCACATATTTAAACTAGAAACTCATTCAGAAAGGTTATCCAAGTAAATCAGTACCTGGTCCAGGTTTTCTAGACAGTCTTCCATAGCTAGCTGAAAACTCTTTCACTTCTGATTCTGCTTCCTCCCCTCCCCTTTGCTCCTTTGGCCGTGGCAGAGTATCTCTTGGTTATCTTCCAGGCTTCTGGAATCCCGGACCTGGGTGGAGCCAGTGTTGCTTTCAAGCAGAATGAAGTCAGGGGTGATGTGTTCTGACTATTGCTTGACAGATAAAGCCATTTGAATTTCATGAAAACCTTAATTGACAAAAATGGCTGCCCACTAGAGCACTTCAAGTGAAGTGAAGAGTTTCATTGTTTATTTCCCCCTCCCCGTGCTTTTGCATGTAGAGGTCAAAGGATCATTAATATTTGATCTTAAGGTGTAGTTCAGAAAGGGTGACTAGATGAGCCTGTATTATTGAAACTGCCTGTTAAAAGATGGCATTGTCAGGAATGTCGACATTACATATATTTAGTCAATTTTTCTCTTTTCAGCTAGCTTTTTAAGAAATATGAATCATTGTCCATAACAAAAACTTATTGCATAGTCTCCTGTAGCTACAAATCAGTCTTTAGAACTGCATGGGAAAAGCCTAATAAGGGAACCAGTGACATTGATGTGTCCCTTTCAGAATCTTACAAGGCTTTTAGTGCTACTCAGTTGGTAGAGGTTTCTTTCCCAAATCTCTACTCTGTAAACGTCAATTTCATTGATCAGTGTCCATGTTGGAACCAACGATATATTCGTACATGTGTGTGGCTTTAGTACAGAGAGTGACTGCCCAAGGGACTAAGGTTCTCTCTTCATTCCCAGCACAGGCATGGCATCAGTGCAAGCTTCCCCTCCTTCTAGGAATGAGAGGGAAGTTCAGTCCTTGAGCTTTCTGTTGAGACTGCCAACAAAGACACCAGTTGTGAGCATTATTTTTGTGTATGTGATGGGGACAACTATCCACTGGGAACTGTCTTGTGACCACCAAGATGTTCCCTGTTATACCTTAAAGGTTTTTGTACAGAATGCAGTTTTGTAGCTTTAGTCTCAAAATGACATGCTCATACAGCATGTGCCCAACAAGAACTCTCACCTGCCAGCACAAAAGACTTGGAATAACTAAGCAACAGAAATAAGGAGGAAGTCAATAGACTTATTACTTGGCATAATTACCTTGTTGCATTACTATATGCAGTTATTGTGTCTTACATTTGGTACATAGGAAACCAATAAATGCTTTCCAAAACCTCCAACTTTGATAACCAAATTATAGTACTCCCTTTTCTTAAAATCTTACTGGATTGGTCATGGAGGCTTGTGTTCAAGTGTAAAGCTAGTGCAGAAACCTTGGCATTAGTGGGAGTCTATTTACTGACATCAATATTTGTTGGATTTGCTGTTAGGTTCATGCCAAATGGATTCTGGACACAGATATATTCAATGAATGGATGAATGAAGAGGATTATGAGGTGGATGAGAACAAGAAGCCAGTGAGTTTTCGCCAGAGAATCTCTATGAAGAATGAAGAGGTATGGTATTTCTCTGTTGGTGGATGACTTGTTGATTTAGCAGTGTTAATTATGTTCTTTACTGCCATGTAAGTCAGATTTCTTGGGAATCAAAGCTACTAAATTAGGTGCTAGTTTCTCAGGAGCTATTGGTAACAAGGTCACATGTAAATGCATGTGTATCGCACCCTTCTGGAAAATGGATGCACTTGGTGTTTCCCTTTGACACAGCAGGGTGTGTCTTTTCCCCCCCAAAAAATACAAGTGTGGGGGCCTACTTTGCTTTTTCTTTTCCTCCCACAAACTTAAATTGGGGCTAACTTGATACAGAAGCAATTTAAGATCTTAATTTCCAAATTTCTTTGGCCTGAAGTACATGTTGAGACCACTAACCCACACTTGTCACTATAACTGGGGAAAACACTGAAAACATTAGCTATTCCTAGAAGTTACTCAGAGTTCAAGGTTAAATGCCAAACATTCCCCATTGTGAGTGGTCTCAGTGCTTCAAACAAGTCCAAAGGTTTGTATTTGGACCCTGCTGTGTTTTAAAAGCCCGTTTCTGTGGCAGACAGCCATGCCAGCAGTTAAAGGTTAATTGTAGAAATGGTACAGGCCACTTTTCACATTGCGATGTGGGTATTCTGGAGCTGAACTTGGTTGCTGCTGCAGTGTTGTTGTTTTAGCACCCTGGGTGCAGGGTGGTATTAGGAGAGGTCTGCAGTCTACTTAGTTTCAATGAGCTGTGGTAATTGATACTCACTGACAACTTCGCTTCTCTAACAGCCTGTCCGTAGCCCTGAGAGAAGAGACAGGAAAGCAGCAGCGAGTACCAGGAAAAGAAAGCATTCACCTTCTCCTCCCCCCACTCCCGTGGAATCGAGGAAAAAGACTGGAAAGAAAGGGTGAGTGTCAGGATCAGACAACCAAAGATGAACTTTGCTCAGGCTGAAACTGGAGCAGAGAGAGCTCTTGAAACAAGTCACTTTCCTCCATAGGTCCCCCCACATGAGACTGTTAACGTAACCATGTGTTTGCAATTGGAATGTATGAATTTTTAATGCTGTACATTGAATTTCTTTGATCACCCAAGGGAAATGTGTTGCCTGCAGATGGAGCAAAGTCTGGTGCAGTCATTTATTCTAAACCTAATGAGAACTCCACCATTGAGAGGCAGATATCATTAACAGTCAGACTTCGGATTTGTCCATATTAGAAAAGTATTCCCGGTGTTCCTAGACTGATCTGATTACACTAGTGCAAATCCCTCATGTACATAGATGCACTTATAAAGGTTTAAACTTTGCTTACATCATTTTACTTTACACTTGTAAATTACTGAATTAAACTGAACCAATTTAAGTTGTTTAATGTTCAAAAAATTTTAAATGTCTACAATGAGGAGTTTGCACCTGGATAACTAGAGAGAATTTTTAATCCAGTTAGCTACACTGGTACAACTTTCCTAATGCAGACCAGCCCTCGATGATTATTAGTTACCTGCAAATGGTTTTTATTGTATTTTTGCCCTTCTATGTT